CCTAAATACATTAATAGTTGATATCTCTTTGATAACCTCCATGAATGAAGCTGAAGATCAACACTTTGCCTCACTGAGGGATGCCACACTACACCCATATACTCCTGCTGACTTCCTAGATGAAAAAGCAGCCTTTCTTGTAGCTTATTTCTTACAGCTTAACAACTGAGACAGAGCAAAGGCAGCACTGAAAGAACTGGAAACCGTTTCCAGGAGTTGGTGTATGAGAAACAGAAATACATCCAAGCACAACAGTCCACTTTGCTAAATGGGAAAGAGAATATTGTACCCTAAAATATTTCCAACAACTTCAACTATCAATTCTTGAAAGTTGGGCTTACTAGGCAACTGGTTTCTCCATCACCCGTTTGTACATCTGCAGATATGCTACATTCCTGAGACTATTTCTAACTACAGGAAAAGCACTAAAAGATGGAATAAGAGCACATAACATGAGACAGAGCGTGAGATTTCTAAATGTTCATTAATCACACTGTCCCTTAGCTTGACAAAATGGAGACCATAAAAGGGAGAAATACAAACAGGTCACTGGAAGAAGACTAAAGTATCCATAGAACTAATTTGGTCAGGAAAGAAACTGAATGGGAAAAGTTACTGGATTGCAGTTAAACCAAGAAAAATTCTTCAAATGAAAAACTTATGAACTGAAGTACCAAGATTTACTAAGAAATTAGTTTACACAGAGTGATAGAAACAAATATAATGCAATCCAGAGACTAGTAACGTTATGCCACTTGACTCCTCCAGATGCAACTTCTTTCCTCATCCTAAATCACATGAGCAGTTTCCAAGAAAGACAGTGGTCCAACATTTGGACAATTACATCTTCAAGACTGATAAAAAGGGAAAAACTCCCCATTGCAAGGAATCCTAACCCATAAATACATGCAGAATTGTCCAGCTCACCTTTACCTTCAAAGTGTTTGAAGGATGCAAACACATTTTTGGGAAAATTTAAATTGTAAAGTTCTAAGACAGACAAAAACATCTTAGAATAAAAGAACATCTTTTTTCTTTTATGGGTTTCACAAACAAGGTAATTTTAAAGCATGACATCAACATTTTTGTTTTAATCTACCCACATCACTAAATTGTCTCTCTCAAAAAAGGAAACAATGTCCGTTTCATACAGAATCACAGAATGATAAGGGTTGTAAAAGACCTCTGGGTCCTTTGGGTCCTGCTAAAGCAGTTTGCCTAGCATTTTAGAGCTTGAGTAGCCTCTTATAAGGGGATCATGTCACATCTTCCAGATAACACCACTGACAAGTTTTTAAAAAACACACTGTACTTTCAGCAACATTTCTCCATACTGAATTCTTGGAGTAATCTTCAGGAGCATTTAGCAGCCACAGCTCATGTGAAATGAGTAGGTGCTGAGATTCCTCAAAATTCTTGAAAACATATAAAGCTTAAAATCACAGTTCTTTTTCCAGTAAAAAGAACAGCTTCATCTGAGGGAAATGAGTTAACAGAGCTTGATCATCACAAAGAGCAGCATAAATTGTTATAAATCCAACTACCGTGTTGCACAAGGTAAACCAGCAGACGCACTGTAGCTATGTGTGTGCCTGTCCTTATCACTATAAATGCAAAGCAAATTCACGTAGCTCACAATGCGCTGTCATTTCAGAGCAGCCGATACCTGAAGTTTCTATCCTACACGATTTCCCACTAACCTCCTTGCGCGCTGTAGCAGTTGGACAGATCAATAAGAGGGAGAGCCTTTACAACAAAGGTATGATGACAGAAAGACCGCCAGGACAGAAAGGTGCTTTAAAGGAAGGAAAGAACATTGCTCACCCCGTATCAGAAGATGCTAGTTCTGCAGGGGAAAGCTGCATTAAGGAATGATCTCCAACTAGAGACCCTTCCCCAGTGTCAGTTAGCCCTTAAATGAGGTCTAAGAGAGGTGCAGCCAGGCTCCACCCCTGCCGGTCACACAGCTGAACTGCCTTCACCTGCACTCCCAGGGCTGACCAGGTCCTTTCCCCAGGCGCTCCATCGGTGGCTCAGGCTGTGACTCAACAGTTCCCATACATGTGCCTTGAGTGATGCATAGGGCCTGGCACACAGCTCCCTGTATTGGTTAACTTTCAAGAATATGTACAAAGGCTTTTGCTCTTTGGTTGACAAAAACTGCATAAGTAAGTCCATGGTGCATTGGAAGTCCCATCAGCCCCATGCAAGAAGAATGAACAAGACATTATTTAGCCTGAAAGAAAAGATATACACAGGAGGGGGAAGAAACTATTTGAGTAGATAAAAACCCAATGACTGCTGTTCATTTTTTTTTAACAGTTAATTTATAAAATAGGAATAATTATTAATTTTGAAATGCTTATCCAATAAAAGATACAGTTGAAAAGTTGACCTGTGTACCAATCCATCAAAATCCAGAGCCAGGCAAATCCAGGCAAAAATCATCAGAGGACTGACTGCTAAAGTCCTGCCTTGAATCCTAAGCACATTTATATCTGCATACAAATGATTATAAGCATAACGATTATAAATAGGAACTTGATGGTGTCAAACAACACAGGTGTAAAGACAGATGCTATAGAAGATCTTACGCCTGATGGGCCTAACTTTCCTGAGAGGAGGATTGCTTTTTATGGCTGCTTGTCTCGGTCTCAAAAAAGACTCAAAAACCCCTCTCTCTTCATGCAGACTGTTATTCTGTCCCCTGTAACTATGCATAATACTGCTGAAGGGCTCAGATTTCTTCTGCAGAAGTAGAAAGAGATGCATTTCCTCACACCACTGAAGTTAAACAACTTTCATGAACTGAAGTTCGTAGATGCTAAAGATTCGTGGCACTTACACAAAGCAAGGAGCACAAAACGTTTCTTAAGAACTGAAACTGCATGCATCAACCTTCATGTCAAAGCCACGCAGCCAAGTGACAGAATTGTGCTTACTTTTTAACCCTGCCCACAAAAACGCGTGCCAAGGGGGAATTAGGAGGTTTTCACATTTCACCGCTTTGCGCCTCAAGAAGAAATGGGATCATCGCTCCACTCGGTTAAAATCGAGATGCCCCCAAACACCGCACTGAGCTGCTCCCGGGATCCCGTCATGCCGGGAGGAGGCCGGCCGCCGCCCCCACCTGCAACCCGGCAGCTGCGAGCCCCGGCCTCGTGCTCCCACAGCCGAGCCCCTTCCGAGCCCCCACCCACGCAGGGGGCCCCGCGGCCACGTGCCCCCGCTCCTCTCCCTCACGGACCCGCCGCCCGCCCAGCCCCGGCCTTCCCAGCCGCCTCACCCAGCGCCAGCCCTGCCTTCCCGGCTCCCACACCTCCTGCCGTCACGGCTCCAAGCCGGCGGGCCGCCACACGCGGCTCCTCTCCTTCCCACCGCCTCGCTTCGCCTCGGGAAACGATTCCAGTTCCTGCCCACCTCTGTCACCTCGCCGCGGCCAGGCCTGACCTTCCGCCGGCCCGCCCGGGCGGCTGCCACATCCCTCCTGCCACGCAGCCCCGGGCGCATCCTCACCCGCCTTCTCCCCCCCCCCCCCTCCGGGCCGGCCAGCCGCCCCCTCCCCGCGAGGACCCCCCAGAAGCCGGCCGCCTCCTCCCGCCTCCCCGCCCGGCCGGCATCTCGCAGCCCCGCTACCCGTGCCCGGCCCGCTCCCTCCCCTCGGAACTCGGCTCCCCCGGCACCCCCGGCCGCCACTCTCCCCGCGGCGGGGCACGCAGTCCGATGCCCGCACCACGCTCCGGGCCGCCGCCCCCGCCGCCGAGGTGCGAGGGGCGGAAACGGGTCGCGGCGGGGCCGCGAGGAGAGCAGGCCGCGCCGCGCCGTGCCCCGGAGGGAGGAGAGGCGGGGGAGGCCGCCGACAGGGCGCGAGGGCCGGGAGGGGTTCGGGCACCGGGAGCGCGGCCTGCTCGGAGGCAGCGGGGAGCGGCCCGGCCCCTCGCACGTACTCACCGCCGGGTTCGCCATTACGCGGCGGCGCTGCCCGGCAGGAGGCACGCGCGCGGGGAGGAGGCGGAGGCGATGCCCCGCGCCTGACAGCTCCCCGCCGGGGCGGCCCGGGGGCGGCAGCGGCGGCGGCTTCCCCCACCCCCAGGGGGATTCCCGCGGGCCGAGGGCGGCACTTACCGGGCGGCAGGCGCAGGCCGGGAGAGGCGGGCGGCGGCGGCGGAGCGGGCGAGGGCGGCGCGGCGTGACTGGCTCGGCTCGGCTCTCCTCCCCCCGCCGCCCGCCCGCCGCGCAGAGCGGCGCAGCGCAGCGAGGCCGGGAGGGGCGGCCGGGCCGGGGGCGAAGTTTCACTCGCTCCGCGCCGCGACCCCACCGGCCCCAGCGAAGCCGCGGGGACGGGCCGGGGGGCGCATTTGCATATTTCTCACCCCCGCGCTGATTGGCCGCCCAGCGCGGGGGCCGCCGCGCGCTGACACGGCGCCGCAGGAGGGAGGGAATGGGGGGGAGCGAGAGGGGCGTGAGCGGCGACGGCGCGGGGCCGCAGGCTGGGGGAAGGAAGAGGAGGGAGCGCGGCAGCGGGGACGGGGTTGGCGCAGGGGGCGGGCGGGGAGCGACGGGCGGATTTCCTCCCCGGGACACCTTCACCTCACCCCGCAGCCCCGGTGGGAGGGGGCGGCCCCCAAAAGGAGAGGGGCGGCGCGGGGCGGACGGCGGCGGAACTGATAAAATGGTGCGCGGGCGGCGGGGCGAGCCTATCCAATATGGCCCCCTTCTCCAGCAGAAGCCAATCCCGGGCGCGTTTACTTTGGAGGCGCCGGCGGAGGCCAGACCCGGGCCGCGCTCCTCGACGAGCTGCCGCCCAGCGCCGAGCGAAGCGGCGCCCGCCCGCAGCGCCACCGCG